GTTCCGGACCTGGACCTGGCTCTGGTCCCGCCAGACCAGGACCAGGCTCCGGACCTGGACCTGGTTCTGCTGTCAGGATTGTTCTCTAACTTTTCACTCTCTGCTTCGGCCGCTGCAGTTTGTGAAGTTTGCCAACATCGAGGAGGACACGCCTTCCTACCATCGCCGCTACGACTTCTTCGTGTCCCAGTTCAGCGCCATGTGCCACTCGACTCACGAAGACCCAGAGACCAGAACCAGGTGAGTCCCGTTGCTGCAGCATCACAAACGCATCGTTTCATTCGTTCCCAGGGTTTAAAAGATGGTGTGAAAGTTTGCAGGATTTCAGTTTATTGTCATCATTTTAATATTTAGGTTAGTTTCTTAGCAGAAGGTTCTTGGCGACCAGAAGATTTATTCAAACTGCTGTCCTTCAGTTTTACAAACCAGTTTGTTTTTAAATGCTAACCCTTCAAAGCCTCATCATCTGGGGCTAAAATGTAGAAACGTTTCTTGTTCAGAGGGATTCACTTTATTGGGTTTAGTTTTTATTACATTTTTCTGGTTTCTGTGTCTGAGACTTAAAGCCTAAGAAAATAACTTGTTGTTCCTCATGGCTCATTATTTGGACTCATGTTTATTATTCAATAATTCAGTTATTTATTATTAGTATAATGTGAATTTGTCAGACTGGAGGGACTTATTGACGGTTTTCCCCCCCGGTGGGTTGGATCCTCAGCAGTCGGGTTCATTGGAGTCACAGCTTCATGTTCAGGTATCAGAGATGGAGCGAAAAACTGATCACACAAGACAAATGCTTCAGTCACGTCCTCTGAAGGAATCTGTCATAAAGAAATTCACTCTGTGTTTAAGCATAAATAAGATAAAAAGCTGCATTTCTTCTGCTTTGAGCTTCATTCTCTCCATCGGCGTAATCGGCTCCTGGCTGAAAGGCTAAGCTAGCATCCAGACGTGTTCAGACCGGTTTCCTGAAGGAGGAAACGTGTGGCGTCGCTGCTAATCTGAATCCAACACGGTAGAATAATTAGTCATCTTCAGAGGCGAGGAAGGTTATTTAGAGACGCGAGGATTAAAAACAGAGAAACCAAACATGCCTTTTAGAGAAACGTTAATCCTCGAATAAAAGAACCAGGCAGAGTCGGCGTGTAGGGAGGGCGACGAAGCCTTTCTCTGCGCCGGTTCTGAACATTCGGACTGTTTGGTTTTCACAACCAAACTCTGAATCCAATCGCTGCTGAACAGAAACAAAAACCTGATAAATAACTTTCATCTCAGAAAAGATTCATTAAAATCAAGTTAAAGATTCTTTCTGAGTTACATTCGTTTATTTACTGACCTTCAGTACGAGTTCAGAAAGCCAAAGAATCGACTAACGATCAGTCGGTTTCTCCATACCCTGATTAGTATGGAGTCATATTTGTGCCACCAATCTGAGCTCAGTAGCTGCATTTCTGTTTACCATATAACTGCAACATTTTGAAAATAAATCTGCTTAATGGAAACAGGAATTATTAAAACTGCAAAGGAAAGACTTTAATCATCCCACCAGTCACATGATCAACAACCGGATGTTACTACTGGCAGAAACCATGAAGAAGACGACAGGAAGTGGCAGCATCATGGCATGATTTTTAATGACTCATCTTGTGAAAAAACTTATTCATGTGATTTTAATTGCATTTCTTATTAAAGGAAATGTTTTTTTTTCTGGCATTGGAAGAATATCGACAGTTTTGTGTTAATTTGTTAAAGAATCTCAGCCTGTGGGACTGATGTGAGCTCAAACGGTTGGATTCGGTGTTGAACAGGTCTGCTTCAAATGAAGAACTTTGTTTATAATTAATTGATCATTTTTATGTCTGTGTTACCTTTACAGAGTGATTAAACTGAACTAAATGTGATTTTTAACTGCGATGCGGCTGAAAGCACCAGTTCAAACCTTCTTTCTTCTCGTTTCCTGTTTTGTCTCCAGGTTATTCTGTAACTTCTGTGTGTTTCATAGAGTGAATCTGTTTTCCTGAGCTGTAATCTTCTGCAGTAAATTTGTGTTTTCCCTCATTGAGCAAAGAACAGGAAACAAAAAGACGTTTTAGGGAAGTGGCAGAAATCCAACCGTGTTGGTTTCCAGGCAGAGAGTAAATATGATTCCCTGCAATATTTTATCCTCATATCAACCCAAAATGACACAATGGAAATATTAACCTGCTTTTATTCCTTCAGTGTGACTGAATTAAATCGAATGAAGGTTTTGTGTTTGGAAGATGGAGCTCCTGATCACAGGGAGGTAAAAATAGTCTGCGGCTGGTGGTCCTCCGCTGAGAGGCGGCTGTCTGGCGCTAATAAAGATGAGCAGTGGGTGAAAACAATACCTGAAGCCTCTTCTGTCTCATTTACTGAGCGAGTGGCCGCTGCCTTCAGAGCGGCTGCATTATCTGGTGAACCTTGGCGGCGCCACCTGGGACTCTGAGTGGAGCGAACGTTTGGGCATAAAAGTGGACATTTGTTTCCATTTGTCTGGACGAGGAGGTGGGCTGCAGTTTGGCTTGATTTCAGTTTTAGTTCTGATTTCATGCCCGGCTCCATGAGCAGCAGGTTTCATCCTGGTCTGGATTATCAGGAAGCCAGAGGCGGGAAAGCCGACCTCGTCTTCGGTTTAATTGCTCTGAGTTTTGTGTCCAGAGCTGAAAGCTGACCTGGTTTCATGGGCTTTGACTGGGCCAGACTTCTGGGACTCGACTCTGGAAATGAGTCTCACTTTGTGTTGGAGGCAGTTTGATGCGACAAATCATTTTAGAAGTTTTTAAACTCATAAATCTTTGCAACAACGTTTATCTGAAGCCTCTTTGTTCCAGTTTAAATCAAGTTCAGAGGTAACTCAAGACGAACAAAACCGATTCAGGGAGCAAATAAGATCTCAAACCAGATTAAAGGGCAGCTTGCATTAATTCACAGCAGGGAAAGTCCAATTTAAGGCTTTTCCATCATCCTGGTGAAGAAAAACTTCATTAATCCTGAAGTGGAAGTTTTTAAAGGGATGTCAGAGCATCATGACTTGGATAAAACAAAGAATCTGCAGATAAAAACAATGAAATGAAAATATCTGAAGCTGTTTAAAATGTTCAGTCTCATTAGTGGGAACCCTTCTGCTGTTAGCCTTTTACTAGCTTTTAAACGGTTCAGTGCTTCCTTTAACTAAGGACAGACATTCCAGTTTATCTCAGTTCAGTCAAATTTAACTTCCAGTTTATTCAAATTCCTCTCAATATTTCCAGTAAATACCAGTTAAATGGAAAACCTTCATTCTCAAACTGAAAGTGTTTGAAATCATTTTAGTGAAAATAAATGTGGTTCCAGTTTAGTGGAGTTTATGTGACTAAATGTCTCCGTGTTTCAGGATCCGAGTCGCCGGGATCAAAGGTCTGCAGGGAGTCGTAAGGAAAACTGTGAACGACGAGCTGCAGGCCATCATCTGGGAGCCTCAGCACATGGACAAGCTGATTCCCTCCATGCTGTTCAACATGCAGGACGCCGACGACCTGGACAGGTATGCAGCGCGGCGAGGCGCAGCAAGGCGCAGCGAGGCGCAGCAAGGCACAGCAAGGCACAGCAAGGCGCAGCGAGGCGCGGCGCAGCGAGGCACAGCGAGGCGCAGCGAGGCAAGGCGCAGAGAGGCAAGGCACAGCAAGGCGCAGCAAGGTGCAGCACAGCAAGGCACAGCACCGCCGCCGTGCCGCCACGGTGCCGTACAGCGCAGCACAGTGCTGCACTCCTGTCTGTTTTACCTCAAATCAAAACGGAGGCAAAGGTTTTAGAAGAAAATTCTCAGATTTGTGGCTGGAAATCATCTAGAAACAGTTTATAGACCAACATGATAGAAAATAATCAGCCAAAGAAGTTAAATAAATATTAAGGCAAATTAAAATATTACGAGTTTAATTTATTGTTGTTCAGGTAAAGAAAAAAGGGAATAATTTTATATTTGTGTGTTAATTTGAGAGTAAAAACTAATTTTGGGGATTTTGTTTTTACATTACACTTTAAAAAGCTTCAACTTTTCAAAAATAACAGCAATTTTGTTTTATATTGCAAAAATCATATCCTTCTAGTTTCTTTCCATATTTTTGGTATTTTTCTGCAGTTTTGTCGAAAATGTATCTTTTATTCCATTTTTTTCCATGGAAATTTTCCAACGTGGAAAAATTCCCAGAATACTTCAGGTTTTCATCTGAAGCTTTAGAGTATAAACAGCTTCTGTTTTTCTGGAAAAACGATGGGAATCATGAAATAATAACGACTTTATTCCTTATTTCTGTGGATTCTGAGCTAATAAAGGCAGATTTAGTAAATCTGCGTATCGGTGAATCGACGCCCGTCTGCCGTTTATTCAGCTTCCTGGTTCTTTTTCTCTTTTCTCCTCGCGGATCTCGTCTCCTCACCTTCCCGTCTTCCTCGCTGTCGTTTCATCCGTATGGTTTCCATGTGAACAAAAAGCTATTTTTGGATCCTCTCCTGCTGCCGTTTTCTTTCTTCTGCCTTTTTCCTTTAAGAAACTCGGCTGCGGCGCCGGCGCCCCGTCAGGCGACTGGACAGGTTCGGCTCAGAGGTTCTGCTCTGCAGGCCAGAACGCCGAGCGTCTGCATGTAGTCAATATCTTCAGCCGCTGAGGTCCATCCATCGATCAGAAGCATTTAGTTCAGCTCACTGTTGGAGGAACCCTCTGTGTGTGTGTGTGTGTGTGTGCGTGTGTGTGTGTAAGTGGGTTCTGAAGCCACGGTAACCTGCTGCTGCAGGAGGCGTTCTCTGGTTCTGATCCGGTTCTGGTTCTGTTCAGCTCTCTGACATCCATGTCCTGTCCGTGTTTCTGTTTTCCTGAAGAAACTCTGAAAACTCTGGACTCTAAATCCATCCATCCAAATTTATAAATGTATATATATTTAGGGTTTGAATAACTCTTGACCTTTGACCTGACTCATGTCTCCATGTCTAATAATCTGATCCTCTAAATGAATCTCAGTCCTGCTGCAGTTTTTTCCTCATTTTGCTGCCGATGCAGAAATGAACCCGTTCTGTAGTTTTTCCTGCCTGAATGTCTTCCTGGTTCCTGTTTGTTTCCCTCCGGATCGGCGGCGAGGTTCTGATGGACTGCGCCGCTCAAGGCCGCTGTGTTTCTTTGAATTGCCTCGGTGAGGCGGACGTGTCCGGCCTGCAGAGGGAGGGAGGCCGAGGCACCGCTGGTGTTCAGGGTTCCACCCTGATGGCCGATTCAGAGCCGATCTGGAGGCGTTAAAACGCCGCTGACCTCCAGCTGCACAATCAGCCACTCAGGTTCTGTAAACGGTTCGTACCTGATGAAACCCAAACAGCCGCTGAACCCAAACCGGACAAACCGGACAGGAGGGGTCATGGAGTTTAGAGCCGGAGTTTTCAGAGATTACTGGACATGAAAAATAACTTTATTAGCTGTGAAATGTTAATGCTGTTCATGTTGGAGCAGCTCAGCTCTGATGGGTTCTGATGGGTTTTGATGGGTTCTGATGGGTTCTGATGGGTTTTGATGGGTTCTGTCTTTGGTTGAGTTGTTGCTTGTTTGAACATTTATTCCCTCTGGTTCTTGGTTCTCTGCAGCTGGAAGTGTTTCTGCTTTTACATTTTTACTTTTCCACAGTTATGATGCGTAACCGTGGCAACAAGTTATTTTTCTTAAAATTTCAAATGACACCTGAACTTTGACCCTGAATCCCAGAGGAGATGAAAATGATGAGGATTCATAGATGCAGAGAGAAGGAGGAAAACTTCTGCGTCGTATCCCCTACTTCAACATCCCTCTAACCACAGGGCTTTAGAGAGGAGCGGCAAAAGCAAATGAGGTGGATTAGCAGAGCTAGCTAACAGGCAGGACATGTCGTCTCTATTGAGCTGTTAGCCTGACATCAGACATGGCTCTGTCAGACAGCAGTCTTCAGTCAGAGGCCTGCTCAGATTCGATGCAACACTGACTGCTACTGGAAATCCTTCCTTCCCACAGCATCAAACAGGATACAACAATAATTGGATCAGGACAAAAAGTTACAAAACAAGTTAAAAACTAAAGTTCTTTTTATGTTTTTCTCAATATGGACCATATTTTTGTTTATTTGGACACAAATTCTGACTACAAAGTTATATTTTTAACACTTTTTTTTAACTAGCAGCAGAAAACCTTATTTCTGTTCTGCCCACTTTATTAAACCACAACAATCCACCTCCAATTACAGCAGGTGGTTTCATTTTTGTCTATCATTTCCCCACTTCTAACAAGCAATAAGCATTTAATTTCCCCTGAACCGCTGGCGTGGGCCGACTGTAATTGCATTGTTTCCCTCCTGAGACGCGGCCGCCTGGAGTCCATCTGCGGCCGCGCTCGCTGCCGGGGACGTGATTTACTTCTGCCACGCTTTATCCCAACAACAAGTGGCTGCGGCGGCTTCAATGGGGCGGTTCTGAGAGAAATGGAAGAACTCTGAGGGTTTCGCTTCCAGCAGAGCAGTGGTTGGGAGGAAAGGGGAGATTTACAGACGAATCAGGACTTCAGCTGAAATAATGACATGAAAATCTAAGTTTGATGCCTCAATTATGGAGCAGACGCGTGAATATCGAGAGAGAGCTGAGATCCTGGATGCAAGCGACAGAAATCAGTTTCCTTCACTGGCAGAGAGAGAGCGACTGCTAGTGGAGGGCACTGCTAGCTAAGAAGCTAGCTGCGCTATCCCTAAAGCACTAACCACAAACAGTTTAGCTAATACTAAGTTACTATGCTAACATTATATTTAGCATAAGCTAATGCTTAAATGCCATACTAACACATTATTTAGCAGAAGCTAATGCTAAAGTGAGCACCGTATGTACCAGAAGCTAATGCTAAAGTGAGCACCGTATGTAGCAGAAGCTAATGCTAAAGTGAACACCGTATGTAGCAGAAGCTAATGTGTGCAGCATCCTCCTCCTGGGTTTGAGCTGCTGTTTCCTCCAGACGTCTCTGACGTTGAAGGTCCGGCAGCAGTGTGAACTCTGACAGCTCAGATTTCACACCTCAGCTCTGAACATCACCGTCCAATGAGCTGACCTTTGACCTTCCCGTCAGACTTCTCAGTCCCATTACTGCGATGTGAGCCGTGGCCTTGAAGGAGCTGGCCTCTGATTGGCTGTTAATGCGGCTGCAGCTTCTCCTCTGCAGCCGCATCAATTATTCATCCTAGTTGTTTCCTTCTCCAGGTTTTCCTTCTGATGAAACTTTCATTTAATGTCAGCTTCTCTCTTCCCTCCTTTTCTTATTTCCTGGAGGTTTGTCTCCTCAGCCTCTGTGTTGTTATGAAATATTGATCGTTGCCCCGGCGCGGCGCGTTGCTACGTGATGCTGCCGTTTCCAGACCTGTTGCCTGTTTCCCAGTTGCCCTGCTGAGCTAGCGGCTGCTGTTGCTCTTTGCAAAGCTTTTCTGTTCCTCATGCTTCTCTGCTTCCCTCCGCAGGGCGGGGCATCCCAGCACGCCGTCCGGGTCGGGTCAGGATGGCGAGGAGAACCCGGCGGCTCTGGCTGAGAACTGCTTCAGGGAGCTGCTGGGCCGAGCCGCCTACGGAAACATGAAGAACGCCGTCCGGCCTGTGTTGGTGTGAGTACAACCTGGAGATTTTTCCTTCCTAAGGTTCCTCAGCAGCATTTCAGTGAGGCTGAGCTCTGAACTTTGACTAGGCCACCTTGATTATTCTCTTATTGAGCCATTCTGTTGCAGATCAGCATGGCTGGTGGATTTACTTTGCTGTGACCAAATATTAAAGGCAGGTTAAGAGAAAAACCATCATTACAGGGAGAAAGTTTTAATATTATGAGAATAAAGTCTTACAGCTGTGACTTTATCCTCATGCTATTACTCTTTGTAATTTATTACTTTATTCTTATTACTTCGACTTTATTTTATTATTACAACTTTATTCTCGTATTATCTCTTTATTCCTGAATTATTACGATTATTTTAAAATTTTTAACTTGGGGTTATTGTTACGAATTATTATTTTAGTAAACTCTGGTTCGGTTTGAAACTGAACTCCAAGCGGACTGGAGACTGCTCCAAAAGCAGGAAGCGGACTACAGCGCAGGGCATTCTGGGTAAATACAACCAAAGCTAACATGCTAGCCTAGCGCTAGCAGGAGAAATGGTTCGGTTTTTAACCAAAGACTGAAGAGAAATCCTCCAACCGCTAAAATCTGACGCCTCCATTTTTGTTTCTACTTCATGAAGGAAGCTGCTCTCAGTGTCCTTAGAGGTTTTTATGGTTTCCTTCAGTGGTTTCCGGCGCAGCGCCCCCATAGGCCAGGAGGGGAACAGGTTGGTTGGAACCGCAGCAGCTGGAGGTGGAGCAGATGATGGAGTTCTGGTTCCTGATCAAACTGAGTGTATCGGACTATCACTGCCGTGTTGCTGTGTTTTTGCTGAGCGGTCAGAGATCTTCTCTCCTGGGAAGATTAGCAGCTCTCTGAAATGTCTCCTTTCTCCCTGGAGATCTTCAGCCTCATAACCAGATCATCAGCGGTCAGCTGATCCGCTGCAGCATCGTGTGAACCTGCCGTTATACTGCTAAGCATCAAACCGCTGTGGACGAGTCAGACTGATGGTCAGTTATTGGTGCATCTGACCCGGCTGCTGCTTTCACTCCACAAACTGAAGAAAACCCAAACCTTTAGCAGAAAAAGTAAAAAAGGCTCCCTGTCGTTCCTTAATGCTTTATTGAATATTTCCATGTTCATGCAGGCTGGAGTGACACGTTTTCCCTAAATATGTAACTCATGCTTGCAAATTAAATCGAGAGCTGAGCCTTTTAATGCTGCTGTTACTGTTTTACAGCTGCTTCAGAAACATGACTCACTTCTCAGTTTGTTTGGTTTAAAAGCTTTTCTTCTTTCCTCCTCACCTGCTTCTCTCTCTACGACCAGCTGACCTGGGAGACTTCTCACTTATCACTGGTAGCAGAGCTGCGTTTCTGAAAGATAAGCAAGGAAGCCGAACAAACAGCTGGTCATTCAGCGTCAGGATGTTTGCTCCATCCATCCTTCATACTTTCTCTCCCTTCATGTCCAACCATCTCTGTTTGTCTCCTCCAAATTAGAAAACAATCCTATCTGGGAAACCCAGAGGCTTTTTTTAAAAGCAATATTTAATTATCCTTCTACTGTATGTATTGATATTTAAGTTTTTCCTCAGTTCAAGCAAAGAAAAATAAAATGATTTTCTGCTAAGATGAGCAGGTTTGGGACAGAAAAGATGTTGGTTTAAACCATTTCCTCTGAATCACAGCATGTTTAAAGAAAACTACAGGCTAGAATATGAAGCTTTATGGTTTAAAATGGAAAAAGAATAATGGCATAAATATTATGTGTGTGTGTGTGTGTCGGGGTCTGAAGCAACAAATTGGTCATTAATTCGGTTCCTGCAGGCCTTTGTTTCACCTCCTGACGTTTCCCATCCATTCTGTTGACACCCAGTCACTTTTTATCTGAGGTGACACTTGATTCACACACACACACACACACACACACACACACACACACCCTGACAGACAGCAGCAGTGTGTCATTCTCACACTAACACTTTATTACTGTAAGTGTTTCTCATGTTCACTTCTGGCTGCAGGCCCGGCCGGTTGGCGCGCTGCGCCCCCTGCAGGCCGGCCGCAGCATCACACCCTGTTACTGAATCTGAGCTCAGACAAAAATTCAGCTTTTTTTTACGTTTAGCTCATTTTATGCTGGTTTTTCTTTCTCATAAATGTTTAATGTTTTTTTTTTATTAATTAATGGTTTAGTTATGCTTTCCCTTCCAGATGCTTTGAAACTTTGCTTCTTTAGCCGCTTTTTATCATTAAAAACATTAAATATTTATATCCGACAGTCTGAAGTTTTTGAAAAGATTTAATGCATTAAAAGTTTTTTATTGTTGAGGTTTTTATTGCACTTTTCTAAGTGCTTTTACTTTTAACTCTCATTGCTTGAAAAATAATGATGCAAAAAAAATAAAGAAATCAATGTAATTAATTTTCAAACAGGTCGAAGCTGAAATACCCACATCAAAAATACAGCGCTCTATAGTTTATTATGGACAAATATTAAAAATGTGGTGTTTTTCTCTTTCACTAAAGCAGAGAAAAGATTTTAAGAATATGAAACACTTTATCTGCCCTGCGACAGACTGGCGACCTGTCCAGGATGTACC